CTGAACCGGAGCAGGCAGGAGACTCCACAGCCTGGCTGGGAGAGGAAGAGGAGTAGGATGTCCAGCTGGGATTCAGAGGAGGAAAGCAGGATTTGGAGGCTTTATAAGCCGTGGAGGTGGCGTCAGACCTTGGACATCCTTTGCCCTCTTTGTGCCATGCGGTGTGGCTGGGGGCGGATAGGGAGTCCCCAGAGCCAGCCGTTCCTGGCTGTGTCGTGCCACCCCCATCTGTGACCGCGTGGCACTGAGGGAAGGCTTGGCTCTCCTTCCAGGGCACAGATTTGAAGGTGCAAGGCAGGGTGGGGGCTTTAATTTCAAAAGGAAGAAGAGATGAAAGATTTGAAAGATAAATGTTTGCTTGTATATGGTTAAAACCCTGCTTAAAATGCCTCTGTTTTCACCAGCTCTCATTCTAATCCCCCTGGTGCTGTTACTGTGAAGGGAGATGAATAATTCATGGACCAAGAATGCCTCACTGGGCCTAATCACCACTTTAATTGGAGGTTTAGATCAGAGGCGGCTAATAGCTCCTGCAGCGGGGACTCCGTGTATTGTTGACAGTGAGATCGTTGAGTGCCTTATCGTTGGCCTGTTTCAATTCTCCCAGGACACCACCGCACATAACAGCATCAAGGTCCCCAGGCACCGAAGGACACAGACCGCAGGGCCAATTAAATTTATCTGGGAAGAGCTGACAACTTTTTTAAACGGAGGAGAAGCGGTGAAAGAATAAGTGTCACTCCTTTCTGACTGCAGCCTGTCTGAGGGGTTGACACTGCGGGCATCTTGCCAGCATTTCTGAACATTCACAAGTGTGCAAATTGGAGAGAGGTGGGAAGGACAGTGGGGAAGGGAGCTGGAGGGGAAAGAGCAGCGATGTCCCCCCAGTTCTGCCTCAGTGTCACAGCTCGTCACAAGAGGAGCCAGTGCTGGGGTTTGACCCTCTTCTGGCCGTAAGGAAATGGGAGCTCAGGTAAGCGGAGATCTGTGGTGCTGAGCCTTGAGAGCCCCCTCGATTTATCACTCACCTGTTGGAATCAGCGTGGTGTATGCTTTAAAATCTCATTAGAGTAGCTCTAATGATTATCTCTGCACAGGCTTTAATTATGCTGTCACATTCACATAGATGCAACGTTGTCAGCTTTTTTGGTATTTGCAGACGTTTGCTTCCGAAAGTTTATCATTTTTCCCAAAGACCAAGACTTTTCCAGACAGAATATGAAGAAACAGTTTCCCGCAGGGGGTTTATTTTACATGTTGGTTTATTTTAGCCAAATAGGAAATAAATTGATGGGGCTGTGTTTGTAATAGTTGATCTGAAACCTCCCTCTACTGCAATAATGAAATCATCAGTGTGCTTCCTGAAAGCCCACGTGAAAACAGGACGGAGCACGTGCTGTGACTGAGAATCACGGACAAACGTTCTGTCGTTTGGTGGAGCAGGTCTTTTGTTTCAGTTATCTATGTGTGGATATATAAATATATGTGTGTATGTGTATATATATATATATATATAAAATATACATGCATACACACAGGCAGGCCTGTCTGCCTGCTGGAGTTGGCTGTAGAGCCCCTTCCCTCCAGAACAGCCCAGCTATTCAAACCCAGGAAGATCCTAACCACAGGCAGGTGACATGGTGACATGTAGGGGCTCAGCAGTAATGATTTCAAAGTGCCCAAATCACTAAGAAAATACGACTTCTTTTCTTTAAAAGAGCTGCAGCCTACTGCCTTTTCTGCATTTTCAGACTTATGCAACAGGATTGTGTTAAATTTTGATATTTCTAGATCCTCAGAGATTGAGACTAAACGTAGCCACTAATCATTTAGTGCCGCTGCGCGTGGATCAAGGTTGGTAAGTGGCCTGCAGCAAGGAAGTGTGTTCTGGGAAGGCATCCACGTAGGCTTGGTTTGAAGGTGTCCAGAGCAGCAAGAGTCTGTGGCTGTTCCTTCCACTGGTGACAGCCACTGCTGAGACCTTGTGCCCTATCAGGCTGGCTTCATTTGCCTGCTGTGTCTGATCCCTGCCTCTTGCCATGTCTTTCCACGAGCTCTTGGGCTCTCAGGGCCTCTGACTTGCTTAGCCCAACTTTTTCTCCCCAGCTTGGCAGCCTGTCCAACCATGTTATGCACCCAATCCAGCCAAACAAGGCCTTTTTTTTTTTTAAGAAATTACCTGGCTGTGTGTGTTAGCTGACTTTAATGTTGAAGAAAGCTTTCAAGCTGAGCAGACACACATCACTGAACTGCCATGGAGCTTTCTGTTTATTTCTTGCAAGATTTGCTAATTGTTAGGGTAGCTTTGCTTCAATAAAATCGCACTCCCTCATAGCCCATCTGCTCTTAGCTGTTCTTGCAGGGTTGCCATAAATCTGGGGTACGACATCATATCTATTTCCATGGCAACTGACCAATGTAGCAAACAAAACTTTGATGTCACGGACACTGAATCCCAAGGGTTTTAATGGGAGAGTGAGAGCAGCGTAGGGAAAAAGTCACTCGCACCTGGGTGTCTGAATTGCAGAACACAAGGGGAAGGCAGAAAATGCCGCCATATGAAGGCCAGGAATAAAAGAGATCCAAGTACTTCCCACTCAGTCCTTGCTGCAGGATAGAAGTCCCATTTTAATATTGTCTGGCAGAGCAGCTCTGAGCAGCACTGTCATTTGTGACTGCTGCTCTCCAGCCCATCCTCGTGGCCCCCAGGAATGGGCCTGCTGATAGGGACGGGGAGAAGTGTGAGGAATGACGAGACTGGGCACTGAGTGCCTGTTGCCTCTGGGAATGAAGAGCAAATACCCCCATTTCCCAGTTGTCCTACCAAGTGGGACATAAAGAGGTGATGCTTTTGACCAGGTTTGAGAGAGCAAGTGAGCTACGGAACTTGTCTTTGGATCTTCCCAGAGCGGGTGTCGCTTGGTCCCAGCGTCGGGCTCTGCTCCAAGGACTTTGCAGTCGTGCTGCGTGGGGCTGCTGCCTGCCTGCAGAGCTAGGAAGCACTGCCAGCTGGTGCCCCTCGAGGTGGAGAACACGGATCATCTCCTGCGATGAAGAGCGCGGCTGTGGATCCCTGCTCAGGGCTGCCCTGCTCTCCGATCGCGGGGCTCTCCTTGCAGCGAGGTGCAGGGTGAAACCTGCTGGGCCAGCAGACCCCAGGAGCTCTACCTGCCCCTGTGCCTTGTCCCCCATCACAGAGCAGAGCTGCCCTTTCATCTCTATTCTCACCAGCTTACCAAGAAGGACACACACGAAACCCAGGCATGGGGATCTTGCAGGGTGCAGGTTCAAGAGCTCTGGGTTGCTGGACCATCTTCCAGTTTAATAGCAGTTGTTCCTGGCACTATGTCAGATTCCATGGCTTTGAAAATTGAAACCTGTGGAAGAATGGTGTGTTTTGATCTGTGCTTTTCTTCTATCATGTTTTATATACAGTGTATTGATGTCGTATAAAACTGAGATAATCCCTTGCAATTCTTACATTGTTAAGCCTTTGCCTTCTCTGTCAGGTCCAGGCTATAGAGAAGCAGTGAGGCACTGTAGCAATCATTGTGCTCTTTCTTTTCAAATTTCTGGGTAGTTTTTCTTTTTTTTTTAAAAAAAAAAAAAAGAAGAGAAAGAAAAAGCACAGCTTTATTTGCTGAGCTACGAAGCTGTGCTGATGCCTTCGAAGACTGGCCAAGAGAAACTGTTCAGGGCTGGAGCCGCATTTGTTTTTCTAGGCATTTTCAACAGTGCCTGTTCAGCAAACATCTGAGTGTTGCAGCGCGGGGACATTTGCATGCAGACACGCGATGTGATCGAAGCCTTCCTGAAGGGTAAACCCCCGCTAGGAAGTTCTTTAGTGCCAGCACAGTCTGCAGATGCCATTGATAGCAGAGCAGCTGCTCTTCGCATCCTCAATTTTCCTTTTCCCAAAGGCTGTGCAGGGTCTCAGTCCCGTTCCCGCTGCTTCCTCCGCAGGTTCCGTGGGGACCCCGCTGCCAGGGGTGGAGGTGCGCATTGCCACGGAGACCTTGAAGAGCGGCCTGCATTCCTACACCATCCATTCCCAGGGAGATGAGAACGGCACGCAGGTAGTGCACACGTGTTTCTGCTGCTCCGATTTTTCTGATGAAAAGCTCTTCACAGTCATCGAAACCCCAAGGATCAGGGTTGAGGCTCGCCCTCCTGTTATTCCCAGGAACTCAGTGTTTAGTCTTTTCCCTTTCTTGCATTCTTTTTATGTCCTATTGCATTCATGGTACTTTGTGGGCCACGCAAGTGTTGCCCTTGCTGTGAAGACCAAAAAGGAACAATGAGGAACAAGGAACAAATCCCTCCGCAGGGCTGGGAGGTGACAGGCCACGCGGTGAGAGGATGACACTGTGCTACTGAGGAAGGTGAGGAGTTAAGCTGTGTCTGCCCTTTAAAAGCTAGAGCACATAGTCCAGTGCAGTAGGTAAGAACAAGGTATTGAAGAGACCTCAGATGGATCCTAATCAGGTCCAAAGAGTAAGCATAAGTCGCTAAACATCTATAGTAAGGGGAAGAAGATGAGAAATAGAAAATACAGAAGTGGAGTCCGTGCTTATTTTACTGGATTTGTTGAAGGGGCTAGCAGTGAGATTTGGAAGGGGAAGGCTGGGAGGGACCGTGTCTTGCAGTGGCCCAGCGGGGAGTCCATGGCACGGTTCCATGCTGAGCCCCAGGCCTGGTCTGCACTGGTGGTTCCTGCATCTCCGAGCAGTCGGATGCCCTTCGTGGTGGGGTGGTGGTGCCCCTTCCCCATGAGCCACCCTGGTGTGAGGTCCTGTGCGTCTCCCCATGCAAAGGCAGCCCCTGGGACCCACCTCTGACCTAGGACCGGAGCAGCTGCAGGATGTGCTGCTGCCTCAGCCCTGCTCTCCCCGTGGAAGCGGTTTTGGCGTTCCCGCCGTGTCTCCTTCGCACCCTCCTTGCGGGCGCAGGTTGTGTCGCCTCCTGCAGATCGATGGCCGGGTGACACGCAGCCTTGGCCGAGCAGATAGATCCTGTGTGTGTGAAAGCAGTTGCAGCAGCAGTGTCTGTGTGTTGTGTGAGTGCAAAACGGGCAGCCTTCACCCCAGCCTGAAACGGGCCGCCCTGCTTGTGCCTTGAGGGAAGCAGATGAGTTCCTCATCTAGCCACGCACACGGCAAGGGTTCGGAGGAGCTGCTTGGGCTCTGATGGGAATTGCCTAGGGACACTGCTAGCATAAGCATGGGTGAAAAGCTTGAGGAATCCTTGTACCTCTAGAAGTGATGGTGTGCGCTGGGAAGCGGGCTGGAATAGGCAGTGATACTGCCCCAGCGCAGCGCCAGCGCGGCCAGTTCTCCCGTTGGGTTGTGAGGGTTCAGGCTGCGGTGCCTTGGCAGGGGTGACGGGGGAATATCCCCTCCCTGCTGCAAAAGGGGCAAGTTCCCATGGGCCACATGCAGAGTCCAGCTAGCAGCATTTGACGGATTCCTTTAAAAAACACAAAACACTGTATTCTCTACAAGGAGAGGTGGGAAAAAGGGACGTTATCTGTGTGTTGTGATGCCGTAACAGACCTGTGGATCCCAGCGCTCACATGCAGCCTCCCGAGGAGCTGGGAAGGAGGCAGATTGGCAGGGCTCGTGGCTTGGAAGCCGTTTGCTGCTCCCCACTGTGGGGGACTGACCCTGTTTGACTGGAGAGGGCACAAGGTAGGAGGCCTGGGCTGGGCCACTCTGGTGCAGTGTCTTAACACATAGAAAATAATGTCCCATTTTTATCACTTCACAGAAATGGTGTTAGGCCTGACGTTTTTGACTCATCCCAGAGATAGATCTTGACTTTTTTCTCTTTTTTTGGAACTGAGATGTGAAGTATAGCCCATGTGTCCATTTTAATAATGACCCCATAATGCTTTTAACCCAGAAGGATCCCTAGGCACTTTGCAAGTTAGGTCTCAAACACAAATCTCTGAAGTACAGCTACTTCCAGGACGAAATGCGGATGTCGCTTTTCTGAATCATGAGAGAAAAAGATAGAGGATGTTTCTGTTTGTTCGCTAGTCCTTCCTGCTCCCTTCTCTTCTGGTTGTGCTGGAAGAGTCAGCAGGGGAGAACAGGAGTCCAGACTACCTCTGGTGCTGGAAATCCACCATCCCTCAGGCATTCAGAGAGATGAGATTCAAATAACTACGGGATTTTTCCTCTCTGGCTTCAGGCTAAGTCTTTCTTTGGGGCAGAGGAGGCTCCCTTTTAGCTCGGGCATCTCTGTCACCCTTGGAGCCCCGTGTCCCCTGGGTGAGGGACCTGCTCGTGTCTCGCTGCGCTCCCCGCAGCTCACGCTGGCTTTGGCCCTGCGCCCCTCGCTGATGGCTTCGCTTTCCGGCAAACCCTCCCTAGAGCTTTCTTGAATGTTCTGGTGAATTCTCAAGGCTGAGAGGAAGCAAAGTTTGCTGCTGGGTATTGGCTGGATGGTTCCTCTCCAAAGGGCTGTCCGTGTCTTGCCCACACGGTCACAGAAGGAAGGGGAACGACCCCACCTGCTTAAGGCTGCCCTTTGAGATAGCCGCTGGCCTGAGCTTTGTCCCTTGGTCCCGCTCGGTGCCTCCAGCCCACCCTGCTCCCAGCAGCATTTCAGGAGCAGAGCAGGGAGCCTCCGTCCCTGGGACCATCAGGAAGGCCCTGGCAAGGTGGCAGCAGAGCTCCCCGCTCTGTGTGTCTTGGCACAGAGATGTTAATAGTTTAATATTTGCATTACCCGGAGAGTGCCAGCCCCTGCGACGTGGCTTTGTGTCGCGGGCGGCCAGGTGACAGTCACCTGCCGAGCACGGGCACGGGGCTTCCGCCACCCACCTGCTGTTCAGGAAACACGGCAGGAGCTCTGGGAACAGCAATATAACCCCAGCACCGCAGCCCGTGCCACGCACGCGGCTCGGCGCGCGCTCCCTCCTGCCCTTAGGTGCCACCGCTGGCACACGTCGTGGGTGCCCGTTGGCTTAATAATTCCTAGCAGAATACAGCAGCGAAATGTGCTTAAATGGAGGGAAAAAGCTAGTGCAAGTGCAAAGGGAAGACCTGGGTTTGTGCAGTCGTGGGAGGACGGGGGCTCCTGCACCGTGGTGGCTCTGTCCTGATGGGGACGTCCCAGCCCTGTCCCCCTGCCTGGCTGTGCCACCCGCTGATCCCGATGGCTCCTTTCCCTTGTGAGAAGGGCCAGGCAGTTACCTGCTCCCTGGGAGGCTGCTGAGCCTTTGTGCACGGTGGTTACGGGCTGGGAGAGCCCTGGCACAGCCCAGCGCGGAGCAGGGACAGAGGGAGGCAGCGAGGGCAGGACAAGGAGCGCGGTGGTACGACGGTGCTCACACAGCCCTTCCCCTGCCCTGGTTTCATGCGTGCAGCCAGTGTGGGTACATGCAGCAGCGCACCCCGTCCTCGCCCGGGCATTTCTGCTCGTTCTGGTGGCACAAACCCCCCCCAAGGGTCAGGTAACGCCTTGCTCGTTGCTGCGCAGGAAACGAGGAGCTTGCGGCTGCCCGGCCGGCGCAGCAAACGCCT